GTAATTTTATCTGTTGGGTTCTCGAGATTCTTTCGATTGTCTGGTGGGATAACATGGTAGTACCAAGGATATTAAAAATGGAAAGACGAGCCATTCTTGTCTACTTGGTGCTAAAAGATAAACTCTAGATTGGTACGTGTGAATCACATATCAATGCTACTATAGTGTTCAAAGGGTTTATTCCATTAAGTCTCCTCGAAAAATACTCTCTATTTTTCTCATCTCGCACCTCTAAAGTTAAATTGCATCAATTTATCTCCCTATAATATTACAATATTTATAAGGTTAATATTATTTGCTCTCCCACTATTTCATTTTTATTTTGATTACACCATATTACCCCTCTCTAATTTCATCTCCTTGCTTGTGAATTAACTTTACTAGATTTTCTCTTATATTCTAAAACCAATTAATCATTCTATTACACATTAAAATGACTAATTTAAATTTATCACTATATGTATTATGTATTTTTTTTTTTTTTTACAAAACTTCACAATCAATCTAACAATATAATATGAGCAGATTCCAAACTTCAAGCCCAAAAAAAAAAAAAAAAAAATTCCAAGCGTCAAAGATGATCAAAATTGAATATAACTACAATATCTCATATATAGGACACTGATACTTCGAAAAGTCTACTAAAAATAGCTCATATAGCCATCATAAAGGGAATGAAGATTTTATTATATTTGAACAAAAGCATAACAGCATCTAGTATCTAGATGATGCAATGGAACCTCAATTGTACTCACCAAAAATTTGCAAAATTGAAATTGAAATAATAATATGAAAAATAAATAAAAAAACAGATTTGTAGATTTAGAAAAAGAGAAGCAAAAGTTAATTTTAATTTTTTTTTTTAGCTTTGGGACATGTACGACAATTGTTCTCAACTTTCTTGCATGTGAACACAAAATAGGATAAAAAAAGAAATTAGGGTAAGGGTAATATGGTTTCATCAAAATGAAAATGGGGTAATGAGAATACAAATAACATCACCCTATTTATAATTAGGTCTTTGATTGAGTTAGACGGTCCAATTTGTTGTTGAATCGGTCATGTTCATCTCCTGTGATTATGTGATGTGACCAAACTAACTCCACAAGAATCAACAATTGACGTAACCAAAATAAATAAATAAATCAATGGAGTGATCAATTTACCCCTTTTTTTCTAGCTAGAATAACCCGCCAATAAATGGGATAGTGAATTATTTGCGCCAATTTATTTATTTGCATTATATACAAAATTTTCAATAACATATTAATATAACATACACCATAATAAAAAAGTGTTATAACATTTTTTTTCAAAAAATTATTTCAAATAATCCACTGTCTAAACATACAAAATGACATGAAGTACACACAATCAAATACGCCGCAGATTGGGCTGTCCAACGTGATTGCACTTAAATGGGAATATTATTGTACTAATGTTCTAGTGGTGGGTGTAACTCTTTCAACTTTCAGGAGGACTTGGTGTAATTTTTTTGAGGTGGCTCATTAGAAACGTTGACTGTTGTGCGAATTGTTATCGTCCCTCTTTTCTTTTTTCTCTTTTTTTGGGTGGTTCTCTTTATGGGGTTTGTTGGGACGAGTTTGATTCGTGATTCCGTGAGCATAAATGGAATGGAACTGTGAGTATTCTCCAATTTATCCGGCACCTCACCTGGGGAGCCATTTTCCTCATCACCGTGCTATGGATATCGAGCACAATGGTAGCCATGTCCCACCACATTTGATTTGGTCTCATCGCTGACGTTGACCCCGTCAAACATCTGTGGAACGCACTCTTGTTACTTTCAAACGTCCACGCGATGCGCCTATTTCATCCCATGCGCCATTACTCATGGTGAGTGGAATTGCTCCTATCCAAATGTGTCTTCAGAACATGAAGCCCAAAGATTCGATTTTAACAATCATTAAACTTTTGGAATCATCCATACGGTAACAAATAGATTAAGGGCCCCGTTACTGATGGTTTCGGTGCTGTTTCTCTGATAAAAAAAAGTACTAATTTAGATGCTAAAATATTTTAAAGTCATTTGATAAACAACATTTCATAAAATTAAGAGGAGGGTTTTCTGTGTTAAAAGTATTTTTAATAAAGGTATATATATATATATTTTTTTTTAATAAACTACCGCAGCTCTAAATGGCCTTCAATTATGTCTGTATAGTCATTGTAGTTATTTGACTTGGCCTACTCGCACGTCTCACTTCGCCCTTGCATGCATGTTAGGGAATTCTTCTCTTCAATATTTTGTAATTTCTGTGGTACAGAATATTGTTATACATAGACGATTCCTGGTGCCTGTGGCATCTACCTTAGTTAATAGTACTAGTTATTTGGTGTCTGAGTTCCGGCTGGAGGCGGTGGGACATTGCACGGCACCATGGCCATGGGGACTGGGAAGCTATTCGCACGGGGATGCGGACTTCACAGGATATGCTTAGTTAGTGCTTGCGGCAGTCTCAGTCATTGAAGCATAGGGAAGTTTTCCACGCAACTTCCAAGAAATGGCTTGGGCTGGATTCCAAATTATTGGTAATAACAAGTAGGAATACAAACTATTAGTTGGTTGGCTTTTGTAGGCTCAAGACAAAGGGAAAAATAAAAGTACTGATCCAGAAGGCATATATATATGTATATATATACTGCGATTTGAATATACCATAAAATGCTCGATGTATCATACGTGCTGCGATTATTTTGTGGCTCTTTTAAGCACTTGGCAAGCTCATAGGAGCAGTTTACTAGGAGACCGTATGAGACAAGAGTTTGAAACATTGCTCGAGGTTTGTGCAAAAATTCCTACTTTCTGGTCGCCTGCCTGCTGCAATTTATCTACCCAAACTTTTTAACCTTTTTGGTTACCTCAAAGCAAAGGTCGATAATGAGAAGAAAGTAAGACAGAGGTCAGCAAATTGTACGTGTACGCAGTCTAGTTCACAGGAAAAGAATGCCCATATGTTATGTTGAACATTACATACTCCCCCGGAGGTATCAGACGATCCAGTAACATCATTTGACATAGAACAAAGTTAGGTTTTTGTATGGTTAGACTTTCTTATTAAATTTAAAAGAGTACGTTTTTCTTTTTAAGTTGTAAAAATACTTGTAACATCTTCCTCCCCAGTATATTTTTTTGGCCCCCGGGTTTGGGGGGGGGGGGGGTTGTGGGGGGTTAAGCTATATACGACTATGATTAGCATAATTTGCTTCTTTTGCCTTTTTTAAGAGAAAAAAAAGAAACTTTTAACTTTGTTCCATCAGAGTACCCTTTTTATCTTGTGTATAGGTCTCCTGTCCTGTAGTATAAACCTGATCGATAATCGTAGCAGCTATTCATGTAATTTCCACTGCATCAATATGAGATTTGTGTATAGAGTTCGAGGTAGGACGCTTAGACGATGAGAATTTTGAGTTAGGTAAGGGATGCATCTCCAATTTCTTTCTTTTCTGAATGCTTGTTTGGACGACCCGGTATCCCTCCCTCTTCAAAGTTAATCTGTGGTCAATGTGCGTCCGTAACTTGGCAATTTTCCAACGAAACTAAGGTGCCTAAGCCAGTATGAAGTAGAATAAATGCCCAAATAAGATTACTATGACTCCTCAAGCGTATGAATGACCCGGTTTTTCTTCTTGTCCTTTTAGGCATCTTGTAGTAACTAGGAGGGAAGTCTTCTCTCGCAATTGAAGCAATCTCAGTGGACTTAGGTTGTTCGGTCGCTGGTCCATAACCGGAGGCAAAACTAGAGACATGTACCTAACCCACAAAAGGGTCAAAACTTGGGTAGACTCGATTTTTAAAAATTCAATGATTTAGATTGTGCGGGTCATTGGATATTTGAATATTAGATCTATCAAGTGTAGGTCACTCAGAAGAGACTATAAAAAGTGAAACATTTGTGGCTTCCCGTGAAATTTAGGTCTAGTAGTTGATTAATTCTCAATCGATCAATAATGTAGGGGTGATCATCGGGGGATGGCTGAAATGAAAATCAAGCCAAAGGCGTGAGCGGTATAATAATTTGTGAAGGTAGTAAAAAGATGACCATCGTTACAATTTTCCAATCATTCCTCTCCACATTCTTTTCACTCTTGACTGTCCTCCTCTCCTGACCATCATTACATTTATCAACATGTCAATGAACAAAAAACAAAAGATAATAGTGCTTAATTTATAGCACAAATTCACCCCTTCCCTCTCCTTCCCTCCCTCAACAACACCCCCCCCCTCCCCAAACCCCCAAAACAAAAAAAAAAGATTTATAGTGCAACTAAGCAGTAGAGAACACAAAATATACTATTAATAATTTTCTTCTATTAGACCTCTACCGGTCATCCGGGTACGGAGGAGTCTTTTTCTCTGTGCAATATAGCAAGACTACTTGGAATAGCCATCTCGCAGGTTAAGAAATTGTAGCAGAAACGGCCCATGCTTTTAAGTGGCCTGCTTTAATGTCAAATTGGGTCCTCTTGAAGTCTTCGAGACATCTGCAACGGCTGTGCCCAGATATATGTACTCACCGCCACTGCCTATTGAGCTACAGTCTGGGAGTCTTTGGGCCTGATTATAGCATGGTAAGTCCATCACTTTAGGCTTGACAATTAAATTATACACTTTTTTTTTTTTAAAAAAAAAAAAAAAAAGGTTCTATTACAATCTTTTCTACCTTTATCATTCAACCCTAACTCTCCCTTAATTTATAAACCTTGTGTTGACTTCAATATTTTTTATTTTAATATTTTGGTGAGGATAATTTAACTTGAATATGTAAAGGTGAAGAACTGTGATAAGATGAGTTAAGCACAATGAAGATCTAAACCCTTGTATGCATTCAAAAATTACAAAAAAGTTGTCCCAAAAAAAATGAAGTAGGAGATTCATAAAATGAAGGTTAACACTTGAACTAATCAGATTTGTATTTAAGAGTTATCCATCGTTGGATTCGAGCATCATTTGTCACAAAGATCTCGTCATTGTCCCCCACTCATCCCACTCATGATCTGGCCCAATTCAACTCCCTTTCTCACATGGTCTCTTCTTCACTCTCATTCATTTCAATTATTCCATTCCTGCTTCGCCCATTCCTTCATTCTCCTTCTCCTACTGCTTGATGAGTGTTTCCCCTCCCTCCCTCCCTCCTTTTTTACTTCCATTTCTGCTCTTCGAAATACTTTACAATTAGTCATTATCGTTTATCTAAATTCTGGAATTCTTCAAGTTCGCTGCTCGAATCAAGTTAAATCCAATTTTTTTATTTTCTCATTCTGTTTTGCATATTTATCGACGAGGGTAACTGTACATCGTTCAGTTTGAGTTGATAACCTCCCTTTTTTTTGTTTTTTGGGTTCTTCTTTACTAAGCTTCCCCTCTTCCTGCATTTGGTGTTGCAGGTGAATCGCTTGCAATCTGAAGGGTACAACGGAGGGGCGCGTTTGCTAATGGGCATTTGCAAAGTTTTTCACAACTATTGCAGGGATAACAACATCAGTCTTCACGAAGGAAATTTCACTCTCGCATACGATACAAATATCCCTCGCCAGGTACAGATGCTTAAGGATTTGGTTATCCATATGTTGCATTCCAGGCTTCTTATATTGGGAAAGTACGAATAAAAATGTAAAAACTCCCAACTGTTTTGACAATCCAGACAGGTTTTCAGGTTCTAGAGTGCTATTATTTTTGTGCTGCACTCAGCTGCCTTCTGGATTTCTATGATATTAGGCAGCTGGTTAAAGTTGATGTCAGGTCAAGCCTCATTCTTAATGCTGAAAAGGAGCTTGGCATTGTTGCCGGTCTCCAGGGCAGGGTAGCACAGGTCTATGGTGGCCTCGTATACATGGTACGTGGGATGCCAAAAAAGATCTGATTTTCAAGAATACATTTTACAACTTTTGTAAAGTCAAAATCAGTTGAGAACTAGTCCTGAAGCTTTTTGTTGTAGCAAGCGGGTGCCAAAAGTTTGTTGTTGAAAGTATAATTGAATTTGAACCAATAATTATGTTGCACTTCGTCTGGTGACAAATGTACTGATTCGACAAGTGCCTTGTGCACCATCTTTCGATTGAGAATTGGCAAAAAATAGGGAATCCAGTTGCCTCTGGGGATCCTGATTTATCAAACAGCCATTGTCATGTAGTAGGTTGTTGTTTATTGTGTAAAATGGATTGAAGCCGTGCAAAATCAAATGAACAGAAGAGAGTCCCCAGTTTCTACAGGACGCAGCACCCAGTCGAAGATAGGAGTTTTCTAGGGTCAAAACATAGTTCTTCCCTATGAATTTGTAAAATCTGTTGAAATATAACCAGAAAGGATAGCAATCAAACCAGATATTATACATGAATTACATCTCGAATGTCTTTAAAATTTCACATAATTTATGGAGTGAGAAGGCCCATGGCGCGGCGTTTTTGGTCGTATTTCTTCCATCCAAAAGGGCAGCCATAGACAAGTGCCCAACCCAAGGTTTCTTGGGATCTCCCTCCTTTCGGCCTTCCTGGATCGCAGAGAAGTCTGTAACGGTCCTAACGGAGTAGAAGAAGGAACTTTAAAAAGGCATTTTACTCCTGAACTAAATCAATCTTCGTAGAGTGACGTCATCAGCTCATGCGGCTTCGACGCCCATACCGGCAGCTCAGTGAAGGATTTTCGTAAAATTCTCCTCTCTTGCGCTACACAAGGCTTCGGCCACATCGCATAGCCTTGCTACATCTTCAATTATAGATTTTTGGGCTTCCCCTGCAAATTGGATTGGATTACAAAAGCTCCAACTTATTACTATTTTGTTTTTCACAAAAAAAAAGCTAAATAAAAATGAAACCTAGGGAAGCAAATGATGCATGTTTTACCTGCAAGAGAAGTTCATCGGCAAGATGCCGGCAAGCGCGAGTCGACGATTGTTCAGGAGGGACTGGGAAGTCGTTGTGACTTGGTCAGACGACGTAGGCAGCGTCATTGGGTTGTCGAGATTTTTGCTGCATGTCCTTCAAGGTGTTCGACAAATGTACCCACTGTTCGATCTCTTGTTGGTACTTGTGTTTGAGCTTGAGGAGTGCTCTTTTCTTCCTTTGCCGGCGGTTCTGCTCTTCAACGGCCGGATCCGGTAGCCCCGGTGCCGAACTGGAGGAAGGAAGGTCGACACGGGGACGTTTCCTGCGTTTGTAGACGAAACCGTCATCGTTGATGAGTTCCCACTCATCGTCAGGTTCCCAGTTCACTGGGTGGTGGCCATTGGGCTTCTCCGACAGCCAAATCTGGAAAACACTCGGAAAATTAAAAGTTAAAAATAAAGCTTTGGGAGAAAGAGAGGGAATTCAAAGTATTTGGAGCGCAGGGAATTTCGTTGGACTTGGGTCTCCAACAGGGCAGCAACTTCAACCGGGAAGACATGCATGTTGACATAAGCAGCTATCAAAAATTAAATTACTGAAATGCCCTTTAAATTGGTACTAGTACTGTAGTACATGACACTGGATCATCTAATCTAGGGGCCCTGGAGCGGACAATTTCATCATACAACGCTAGTATAGTATGATGTGATGAATGTAGGCATTGTGAAATAAATGCGTAGATATTAATTAGGGTAAAAAATAAAAAAGTACCTGTGATAAATCTAATATATGAAAAAGTTTCATGTGATTTTAAAATATACAACACGACACCTCGTATTTAAATTATAAAATGACGGAATCCGTTAAACTTAACGAAAATGGATGAAATGACCAGAATGCCCTGATATATATTAAGTAAAAAACAGCTCAAAAAAATCATTTGTTTTATTCTCTAGATAGAGAGAATTTAGGGTTAAGGGGTAAAATAGGTATATTTGTTAAAAATTAGGTATAAAATTTTTTTTTAGATTCCAATAAGTCATTTCCGTTAAATTTAACGGATTCCGTCACCTTTATAATTTAGTTCAAAGTACGGAGTATCGTGTTGTATATTTTGAAACTATGGAGGATTTTCTGTATATGAGTTTTTTTGTAGTTTATCCTATTAATTAAGGTAATAACATGCAAAACATAACAGAGCTATTCACTTGGTGAAATTGTTTTGAAAAATTGTGGCTCCCTTGGATGGTGAGTTTTAGGCTTGTTTTGGAAAGGAATAGGATGTGTTTGGATTATTGAAATATTTCAATAATATTTTATTTGTATCGTAAATATATTTTTCAATTCATTTTTTTAATTATTTTTTTATTTCACATACATCATATCATAAAAAGTGCTATAGTAATTATTTCGAATAATATTTTAAACAATACTCTATCCAAACACACTCTTTACAATTTTATCTACAATAATTTGTTAAAACATTCTAAATTTTATTAAAAAAACCTCAAAATACTTAAAAAAAAACACACCCATATCCCTCCTCCTGCCACCCTACCTAGTACCTACTTCCACCATTGCTGCCCCACTCCCTCTACTTCCACCTCTTTCCCCTTTTCCTCTTCTTTCCCTAGCTTCCTCCTCTTTTTCCCTCCTCATCCTCCTACTCTTTTCCCCTTCACCTCGCCACTCTACATTTTTTTCCTTCTCCTTTATTTTTTCCTTGCCTTCAAACTCTCTCCCTCTCTCTTGGTCACTTGAACAAACAATAAGAATTACTGATTCAGATATCTATTAAATAATTCCAACAATTTAGAGAATTTTAAAATATTTCAAATTCCTTAATCCAAACGAACCAATTAATAAGAATCTAGCAACATAATGGTTTTTTGCCATTTTTCACATTGAAAAACAAAAGTACATATTGACTTGTCAATATTACTTACTTATTTAGAGTAACGACAAAATATTAGGAGGTTAATCAAATAAAACATGGATATGCATACCCTTTTTTTGAAAAAAAAAATGTCAAACTCATTCAAAACTTATTGCAAGTAATTATCAAGTCATAAAAGAATGAGTTGGATGACTCGAGAAATGAAGTGTAAGCAAGAAAGAGGGATACTAATTCAAGTTCTGCATTCAAAAAATATCCTAAAAATGAGTTAAATGACTTGAGAATGAAGTGTAAACGAGACTAAGATGGATGATGATGCGACTGCCGAAGTGAAGGTCCGACCTGGCCTGGTGCCTGGGGAGCGAGCTGGAGCGTTCGACCTGCACGTGGGCGAGCTGCGGGGCTAAGTCCCCTGGAGCAACTCCGACGATCAAGTCAGAAGGGGATTCGTAAGTAAGAGAGTAGAGTTTGTGCTATGAATAGCGTACCTTGTGTTTTTCCCACGCGTGGTATTTATAGGATCACAGATAGTAGTCTCCTAGTAGAATAGGGAGTCCTTATGGGAGCAGAACTCATCCCTAGGGCTCCATAACTCAGTTAAGGCGTGCTTGGGCTCTGCAGCCCGCGCGGCCCATCCGCTTGGGAGACCGCGCCCTCTGGGCCCCAAGCCGACCTGCTGGGCCGAGAACCTCCTACTAGCGCGAGCTTGCGGGCCGGGCCGACGTGCACATGGGCCCTACTACACTAGCCCCCCCTCAAGTCTAGAGTCATCGATCGTGCGCGTGAATCTAAGCCGAATTCCAGGAGGTCGTGTCAGCTCCTTGTGGGACCCCCGTCAGAGAGGGGCGCAAGCAACCGTCGCGTCAGTTCGCGCCTGTCACCTCAACCGTCGCCTCGGCTAATTATGGCGGTTAGGAACGGTTCCCCATAAACTGCTCGAATAAATGCGCGCCTCTTCGCTTTCCCGCGCTGTCGTTGCCTATAAATAGGATCCTCCAAGCGTCATTTTCACTCCCCTTCTCTCATTTCCTCAGTTCGCTCCTTCACTCCCCAGCTCGCTGCTTCATCCCTTTCTCTTCGAGAACACGTCGGGTCGTCCCGCCTTAGGAGCCCAGAGTCAGCCCGAGCATTCCTTAGATCATCCTTTTGTGACGACCCCACTTCTCCCAAGGGCGAACCCAAGGGTATCGGCGGGCCGCCTGCCTAGCTCGCGCCAGGACTCAAAACTTAAAGCAATAAAAACCAGAAAATCCAAAAGAGTACTATACATACTATATACAATCCCAAAAGAGTTATAATTACATTCTCCAAAAGTACCTGCTCTTACTATTACATCCGTATACTTACAACCAAAACCAAAAGGGAGACCCTAAGAAGGGTCCTAATACAAACCACCAGAATAAAAACAAACATCCTAAAAGTTCAACTATTACAAGCCAATCTACTAAACTAGTGTGTGAGCCCCAAACGTACCCGCGTCGGCCCCTGCTAAGGAAAACAAACGGAATGGGGTAAGCTAAAAGCTTAGTAAGTAAACAGGGGCAAAAGCGTAAATTTCACGTAGCAACATTTACACAGTAAGAGTAAAGCAAAAGCAGAAAAGTAACATCACATAATAAGGATACGGGTGGCTCCAAAGCCAATTCATTTGCCATGCTTGATCTCCTGTCGACACTCCGTCGACCATAAATAAGGTCCGTAGAACTTCACTTGTACACCCACCGACACCTTATCACCCTCACTGGCCAGTCACCTCACAAACTTGCCCAGGCGAACGAAATCACAAACTTGAGCTTTAATCATAAGCTCGGGTCACAAACTTGGTGACCTCAAACCAAGTTGGACTGACTTCGACCAAGCCCTAACCGGCTCGAATAGTCCATCTAGGTATTGAGTTCAACCGCAAACTCACAAAATTCACAAAAGTATTCAAAAGTCACCCCGAGCCACAAGCTCAAGGGTTTTTGTTCCAAAATTTCTCACATACATAAGTCATGTACAAATTGGTGCGTAAATTAGGGTCTAGATCGAGTGCGATAAAGTACACCCTCGCCTTTTTACACATAACGAAACACATAAACAACTAACACATAAGAGCGGCCTGAATACTTACTCAAAATACCAAAAGTAGTATAAAGGCGGAATTCACTTTGTGTGTTGGCTAGTAGTGGGCCCCACCGGCACCGCCTAGCTCACCACTGTCTGAAATCGAAGATTATGTCACAATATATCACAAACGGCAAATAACGTACTTGAAATAAGCCAAACGGCAAAATTGGCACGCGCAAGTGCGGAAACGGCAAAACGGCCGCACACGTCCGCGCAGAACGGCAAACGGAAATGGCCAAGTCGGCCATCTCAAACCGTTTTGGTCAAAATTTAGGCTAGGAATATCAGATCAAGGTACATGAGGTACCGTTACGAAGCTAAGAGGAAGGGCTACAATGTTCATGAAGACATCGCAACCCAGATCTCAATGGGTATAGGTGAAAATTGCGTGAAACAGTTCCAGCTGTTTCATTGCGAGTTACCAAACAGGCCCTGTTTGCAAGGCCGTAACTCACGGCTCAGAAATCGAAATTAAGAAATTCCAAAGGCATTAGAAAGCTGAGACATAAGGCTAAAACTTTCATGTTTTGGCCAAGACCTGAATCTATTCAGAACAAAACAAAATTCGAGTGCCAAAGTACCCGTCAGAACTGTCCAAATACAAGGCAGTTCTGATGAGCGATATTGTTTTGATCATAACCGGAGCTACGGAACTCGGTTTTCGACGTACTTTATACCGTTTCGAAGCTGAGATCAAGATCTAAACTTCTTATGAAGGAGTCGGCACCCAGATCGAACTCTATAAAAATCGAAAAGTCATGGGCAGAAACAAAATCAGAAAACGCGTAGAACCAGAGGGTCAAAACAGGCTTGAGCATTTCGTCGATAACTCAGGCTACGCTAATCCGATTGACCTGAAATTTTGCAGGCATACTCAGGACTCAAGGGGCTACGACTTTCATGTTTTACGAAACTTCTGAATCAGCACGGAACATTAAGAAAAATGGAGCTCAAGTTCAGGTTCTGGGTTGCCCTGTTTACCCATTTTGCCGGTTTCAAATGTCGCAAACATATGGTTCGTTTTCATGGTTCTTATGCAGGTTTTTCAACCACTTTTGTACCAAATAAACACACATATACTAACATCTAAATGGCCTACAAATGGTCCGAAATTCCCCTCCCAAGTCAATACCAAATTTAACAATCATCAACCACAATCCCTAACCAAATTTCATTTGCACCAATGAACTTAATCCAACCTCTCACTAACCAAACTCTATCTCACTAACCATAAGCTAAGCTAAATTAGCCTAATGGAGTTTAGGGTTTCTTAACCCAAATCAGCTTTTTGCAAGTAACCAACCAAATCAAGTGAGGCAATTCATCAAACATAACCACTACAAGTCCATTTCTCAACTAAAACAAGTAAGGAAAGCATTAGCAAGAAACCCAAATTCTTTCCTCTTCTTGGCCGAATTTTCAGCAACCAAATAACACTAAAATTAACCAAAGTACTCCATAAAAACATGTGATAGGCATAAGAGGTACCACAATCAAGCACAACTAGGGTCCTATGCCAAAATAACCACTAGTTCATCAAACAATAATCAACTTAAGTCTTCAAATAGACTTTCTTACCTTTGATTCAAGCTTTGTAGATGATCACCCACAACAATCAAGTGCTCAAGTTGTTTCTCCAAGGTCCAAACTCAAGATTGAAGAACAAAATGATGCACCAAAGCAAACTTTCTTTTTTCTTCTCTTCTCACGGCTCTCACTCTCTCTCTCGGCTCTTCCTTTCTTTTTTTCTTAGTTTTGTTTTCTCTTGTTTCTTATAAGTTGTAAGACAACATATAGTCAAAGCTTTGGGAGATATTTCTTATAGCTAACCAATCACAAAAATGCTTTATTTGTTGTTTTCACCCTTGCACTTCAACTTTCTCTTTCATATACATTTTCCCTCAAACATTTGATAACCTTTCAATTTACTCCATAAGTCATAACTTAATCTAATCTAAAACATATAATCACGCTTAATTATTTCACTAATCACTTTCTCATCTTAGTCACTTACACTTAAGCATACTTTATCCCACATAAAAGTAGTTAAACAATAACTTTTTTGTCAAGGACAAAATTAGGTTTAAACCCACTTAAAACTTCTAATAAATCATAACATTAGGGATTTTGCTCACTTAGGGTTTCTAACCTATCCTATACCTTCCCACACTAGTGGGTCCCACATCCGATATACGTTCTTAATTTCTCAAAAACTAACTAATACTAGAAAAATTATCTAAGAACTATATTTACTCATAAATTAGGGTTTTCTTCTTAGCCCTAACCCTAATATCCACTTATGAACGGTCTGGGTCCTCACACCTTTCACCAGTAAGTCCCCTTTTCTTTTTATGTCTTCTTACAGTTCTGATAGCTCTGACGTCACCAGTTCAGCCCATAGGCATAGAACAGCTAGCCCCATACTCCTAGATAGCAGCTCTTCAGATTCCCTCAGCTCTACTCCTTCTATTTCATTTGGGCCAGAACCCGTAGTCTCTCCCAACCTGTCTCCTGTTAGAATAATGAACCCAGCCAAGCAACCTGCCCAACCTCTGGTCGGAGCTGCTGAACAGGTAGCTCCAGATCAGACGGTGGCAGGGACCTCAGGGGGGCCGCATGGCGACTTTAGGGAAGTCGACACCATCCCCCCAGCCCTGGAGCAAAAAGATGTTGACGAGCTGGCGGAAAAATATGAAATCCCAGCCCAATTCGAGCCCAGGGCCGCCCGCCCAGGGGAGGTCGCCAGCCGACCTCCTCCTGGTTTCGTGGCGATCTACAGGGATCAGCTGATGGCTGGTCTCCGCCTGCCCATCCCCAATTTCCTCTTCTTTATCCTTACCTTCTGGGGCATTCGCATAATTCAGGTCATCCCCAATGCCGTTCGCTCCATCATAGGTTTTTTCATCCTCTGCCGAGCACTCGAAATCCCCTTTTCTCTCGACCTATTCGGGGCCTTCTTCCAGATGAAGGTCAGCGGGAAGGTGCCTGGGTGGTTCTACTTTGCCCGACGAAATGGAGCGAAAACCCCCACCCGCGAGCTGTTCACGGGGGCACCTTCCTCTATCAAGGACTGGAAGCCTCAATTCTTCTTCGTGAAGAACCTAGGTTTTCCTCCCCTTACCTGGAGAGCAGAGACTCAAGTCTCAGATCCCCTTCCGTCCCTGCTCCCCGTGTCCGAGCTTAGCCGCCTACTCAGCTCGGACGCGAAGCTGGACGTGAAAGAACTCAGCAACGACCAGCTTTGGGCGGCGGGGCTGATCCGAGCTAGCTCTTCGGATCCCTCACCAGAAGATAAACCACTCTCACTGGACGAGCTGGACACCTGTATCCATCTTGCACTTCCGCCTCCTTTTTTTTTTTTTAGGCATCTACTGACCTCCTGGGCTTCTGCCTGTGCAGTGAAGCGGTTCTCTTCACTTCTGTCCATTGGCGGCACCAGCAACCCGGGCGCTACGACTCAGAATCCCTCGGCTAACCCAGCCAGCTCGGCGCCCATTCCGATACCTCAGCCAGCCCCTGCCCAATCCTCCAAGGCGATCGAGGCTGGGAAGAAGAAGAAAAAGAAGACAACTGCCAAGAGAGCCAGGGTGGAAACGCCCTCGTCCCCAGCTCGGGAGGAGAGGTCAACACCTGAGACTGCTCAAGGCGGCCACTACGGCGTGAACACAGCCGAAGAGCAAGCCCGAGCTGAAGCTCCCCCTAACTTATGGCAACGCCAGAGCTCCCTGCTCTTCGACCCTCAGACTCGGTTGACGACGCACCAGCACCCCACGCACTTCTGCCCCCAGTGGAAGCTATCCATAAATGACCGAGCTCAGTTCCCCGAGGTGGCACGGGAGCTCGCTCACGGGGCCATCCTCCCACGGGACTACAACTTGACCAAGGCCATGGAGTCATCCGACCTTCTCAACTACTTCTACACGAGAACGGCGCAGGTGAACCTGGTTGGGTCCGAGCTAGCCAGGCGCTACGAAAGCCTGCTTCCCCTGCTGAATGAAACAAAGACGGCCAACGAGAAACTGCTCAGCCAGAACGAAGCAGCAGTGGCCGAAGCTGAAGGCCTGAAGAAGCAGCTCGCGCAAGTCCACACAAACTTCGAGCTAGAACTGAAGAAGAACGCCGAGCTGACCTCCCAGCTAAAAGAGGAACAGCAGAAGGCAGCTGGGCTGTCTGCTCAGGCGGAGGCAGCCAGGGCTGAGGGAAGCCAGGAGGGCGTGCGGACCTTCCTCAGGTCCGAGGAATTCAGGGGCGACCTGGCCATCCTGAATACCCCCGTTCTGCAGCATGGGTATTCCCAGGCCCTGCAGGAAGTGCAAGGGCTAGGTCTGCCCGGGTTCGACTTGGGAAACTTTCCCAGCTACAATCCCCTGGCCGTGGAGCAGCTCGACCGCCTGGTGGAGGGCTACACGCACGGACGGAAACTGACCACCTGGTTGCCGACCCCCTGCTGCCAGTGACCACCCCCGAATCCGAGCAGGAGGAGGAGGAGGGTGAAAACTAGAATAGGGCTTAGGGTAGAACCCGAACTGTCAGTAGGCAGTTTGTTTTGTATGAGCTCTGCTCTTCGTTGTACAGTTTTTATTGAATGAAATGAAAGCCTTCCTTTTGCTTTATACTTAGTCGCATTTCGCAAAGTTTCTCATAACCAGACACATCGGTGTGGCTCTATGCCGACCTAAATGAGCTATTCCCTAAGATGAAATAACTTATTAGCCAAATACATTAACATTAATCAAAGTCTTGACCTTGAGACGAACTGTCATGCGCGAGCTTAACGGAAAATCCTCAGGTTGGAATTGTGCCAGGTACGCGGGACCTCCTCGCCGCTGAGGTGAGTTAGCTTGCAGTATCCAGCTCGGTCTGCCTCCTTCACCACGTAGGGTCCTTCCCAGTTTGGATCCAGCTTGCCCGTGCCCTGAAGCCGACTTACGCTGTTCTTCCTCAGGACCAGATCCCCTGGCTTGAAAGATAGGGGCCTCACCCTAGCATTGTAGTATCGCGCAACCTGTCATTTATACTTAGCCATGCGTATATGTAAGAGCCCGGTGCAACCCAAAGAGTACAAACAAATTCACAATGATGCACAAAGATATATCAAATTTAAGCACAATAAAGAAAACTTAATTAAAGAGAAAGGATAAGAAATGCAAACCAAATATCAAACCAATAGCCTCTTCAATTGATGGCGATGCTAACCAAGATGTACAAGTGAAGGCTCACTCCTTCCTCACCCCAAATACTCTTTGGTTGAGCCAAGGAGTTTTACAACAATTCTAGTTAACCCTCAACAACCTACACTTGAAAGATCACTCACCCAATTAAGAACTATTTTATACAAATGAGGCAACCTTCACCAAGGTTTTACCACTTCAAGTGATAGGTTCACCTTCACCAAGGTTTTACTCCTCCTAGAGAATAACCTTCACTTGAGCAACCTCACAACCCAACTTCCCCAACCCCTTATACAACCAACAAAGAATCTTTCTACTCAAAATCTCACTTGTAAGCTTGTATATTGTGTTGGCAAAAGTCTCTAGTCTTCTTGTGCTTTGGGGTTTTTATAGAAGGTGAGAAATGGCTCCAAAAGACTCTCCAACGGTCAAATATTAATTGCTGTCAAAACTAGCCGTTGGCCTGTCGGACGTCCGACAGGTGCCTGTCAGACGTCCGAACCACCTGTCGGACGTCCGAACCCTGCGTCCGAACGTAGGCAGAGAGTCATCAAATCTTTGCGAAATTTCTCGGACGTCCGATGTGATCGATGTGCGTCCGAGGCGTGCGTCCGATCCTTCCGGACGTCCGATGCTTCCTCACGAGCGTCCGACAGAGTTTCCTTCTTGATGTTCTTCATCCTTTCGGACGTCCGATAGTTTCCTTTTGGCCGTCCGACATGAGTGACCTGATTTTGCTTGTTCATTTGGTTGGTTTTCTTTCCTTGACACCATTGAACCTGATTCTAACAAATTTCTCACATAAAAACATTAGACCAAATCTACATTTTGGTTTGTTAATCATCAAAACCAAGGATTGATCGACCAAGGTCAACAGTATAGCCGCCTCTTCTCTCCTTCCTTCCAGCAAATCCAAGTTAAGACGCAGCTCGTCTTCATTGTCCTGAGCTATGAAGTTCTGAACCCTGCCCGAAGGCACGCCTATCTCTGCAGGGATCACAGCCTCTGCTCCATAGGTCAGAACGAAAGGGGTCTCCTGAGTGGCAGTTCGGGGAGTGGTTCGGTAGGCCCATAGTATGGTGGGCAGCTCGTCCAGCACCCAGCTCGAGCGGACTCCATCCGCGTCTTCAAACCATGCAGGATAGTCCTGTTAACGTTTTCGACCTGCCCATTGGCTTGGGGATGACCTACCGAGGTGAAGTGCTGCCGGATTCCGAGCTCCGTGCACCAACCTTAGAGAGAATTGTCCGCGAACTGTCGTCCATTGTCTGAGACTAGGACCCGAGATATACCAAATCGACAAACAATGTTTCTCCAGAGAAATTTCTGAACCGACCTGCTGCTGATGGTGGTAAGGAGCTCGGCCTCCACCCACTTGGTGAAGTAGTCCACAGCCACCACCACGTGCTCATAGCCCCCAGGAGCTCGGAGGAACGGACCCATCAAGTCTATCCCCCACTGGAAGAAAGGCCAAGGGCTCTGAAGAGGCGCCATTTCCTGAGTTGGGGCGTGGTGGATCGGAGCGTGCAGTTGGCAGGATTTGCACCGAGCTACTAGTTCGGCAGAGTCCAAGAAGATAGTGGGCCAGTAATACCCAGACAACATTCCTTTTTTGGCCAAAACTCTTGGTCCGACGTAGTTCCCGCAGATACCTTCATGCAGCTCACGCAAGATATACTCTCCTTCCCCCGGAGTCACGCACCTCAACCATGGACGCAGATAGGATTTCTTGTAAAGCACCCCATTCGAGAACTCGTATCCCCGCGATTTAAGAAGGATCCGTCGTGCCTCCACCCGACTTGAGGGGAGCTCTCCATTGGCCAGGTATCGCACGAGGGGATCCATCCAGGAGCTCACTACTTGAATAACGGCCGCGTCTACCTGATCATATGCCCGATTCCTGACGACCTCCACCAAGACCTCTTTGTTCAATGTGCCCACTGAGGTGGAGGCGAGCTTGGACAGTGCGTCTGCCCTCTTATTCTGGCTTCGCGGGACCTGCTCGAGCGTGAACAGTTTGAACTGAGCTCTCAGCTCATGCACTTTTGCGACGTACCTTCTTAGTGGCTCCTCTTTGACTTCATAACTTCCCCCTACCTGATTTACTATCAGCTGCAAGTCGCTGTAGACTTCTATTGATTCGGCCCCCAGCTTTCGAGCTATCACCATCCCCGCGACCAGGGCCTCGTACTCGGACTCGTTGTTGGAAGCCCTGAAATCAAACCTCAGGGCGTAGGCCAACTCATCCCCCATGGGGCTAGTCAAGAGAAGTCCCGCTCCGCATCCTTCCTGGCTCGACGACCCATCTACGAACAGTGTCCAAGTCGGAATGGTCTGATCGACCTTGCCAGTGGCCTGTTCAATCTCGACAGCCTCTTTGGCCTGTTCAGCCTCCGCTGCGTCTCCGATCCGTTTGGCCTGGGATTCCCTTGTGGCCTGTCCGACCTTGGCAGGTCCTTCGGCCTCGACTGCATCTATGGTCTGCTTGGCCTCGGAAGTCTTGGTGGCTTGCTCGACCTGGGCAGCTTTTCCGGCCTGACTGGCCTCGGCTGCGTCTTGGGCCTTGGAGGTTTGCGCGACCTCGACAGCTTCTCCGACCTGCTTGGCCTTAGCTGTGTCTCTGGTCCGTTCGACCTGTGATTCCCGTGGCCCGAAGGAGACCCCTTCGGCTATAAAATCCGCCAAGGCTTGGGCCTTAATGGCCGTGCGAGGTTGGTAGCTGAGGTCGTACTCAGACAGCTCCACAGCCCACCTCACCATTCTCCCTGACGCATCAGGCTTGGAAAGAATTTGTTTGAGCGGCTGGTCGGTCATAACCACCACGGGGTGGGCTTGAAAATACGACCTAAGCTTCCGAGCCGCGTGAACTAATGCCAAAACATACCGCTCAATCGAGGCGTACCTTGGCTCCCGCCCTGCAGGGCTCGGCTGACATAGTATACGGGCTTCTGGATCTTGCCTTCTTCCCGAACTAGCACCGCACTGATTGCCTCCTCCCCTACTGCTAGATAGATAAATAAGATCTCTCCGTGTGCGGGAGAGGTCAAGGCTGGCAACCGAACGATGTGGGCTTTTAGCTCGTCGAATGCTCGCTGGCACTCGGGGTCCACTCAAACTGGGGACCTCTTCGCAGGGCCCTGAAGAAGGGGAACCCCGAACTGCAGATTTTGACAAGAACCTGCTCAGGGCCGCCATCCTGCCAGCTAGCCGTTGGACCTCTTTTATGTTTCGGGGAGGAGCCATGTCCATGATAGCTTTTACCTTGTCGGGATTAGCTCTTACCCCGTCCTTGGATATCATGTACCCCAAGAACTTGCCCGACCTAACCCCGAAAGTGCACTTCTTAGGGTTCAGCCGCATGCGCGAGCTCCGTAGGACGTCAAAGATCTCTCTGAGGTCGTTGACGAACTGCTCCTGAGTTCGTCTTTTCACCAGCATGTCATCAACGTATACCTCCATGTTGCGGCCGATCTGGTTTTTGAATAACTTGTTGACCAGCCGTTGATAGGTCGCGCCGGCGTTCTTCAATCCGAATGGCATGGTGGTATAGCAGTACGTACCGTACTCGGTGATGAAGGCAGTCTTCTCTTTATCCTCCTCGTCCAGGGCTATCTGGTGATATTCTTTGAAGGCGTCCAGAAAGCAGAAAATCTCGCAGCCAATAGTTGAATCGACCAGCTGATCGATGTGAGGGAGGGGGTAACAGTCCTTGGGACAGGCTTTATTCAGGTCGGTGAAGTCTACGCACATCCGCCACGCCCTGTCCTCCTTTTTCACCAGCACTGGGTTGGCTAGCCAGGTCGGGTAGTAGATCTCTTTCACAATTTTGGCCTCCAACAGCTTGCCGACCTCCTCCTTGACGATCTCATTCCGTTCAGGCGCGAAATTCCTTTTCTTTTGCTTTACTGGTCGAGCGTTTGGATCCACGTGCAACTTATGGACTGCCAGCTCGGGAGGGACACCGGGCATATCGTCTGCACTCCAAGCAAAGATCTCTTCGTACTCCTCCAGAAGGGACTCCAGAGCTCTCCGCGCTGGCTCGTTTAGGCCCGATCCGACCCTGACCACTCGATCAGGTCGCTCTAGGCAAATGGGCACTTCAACCAGACTCTCGTCCGTCTCCAACCTCTCCTCCTTCTCAATAGGCTCCCAGAGCTCCAGAAGGACTGTCTGCGCCACTAGCTTCTCCTTACCCTTGAGGGTTGCGATATAGCAGGCTCGTGCTACCTCCGGGTCTCCCAGCACCTCGGCCACCCCATCAGGCGTTGGAAACTTCATGCTTAGGTGCAAAGTTGAGCAGACAGCTCGGAGTGCGTTTAAGGTTGGACGCCCTAGTATCATGTTGTAGGAGGACGGCTCCTTTACCACTGCGAAGTTCACCGAAATAGTTCGGCACTTCGGTGATTCCCCTATAGTGATCGTGAGAGTTATCATTCCCTCTGGTCTTACGGGCGGACCTGCAAATCCTATCAGGGGAGTACGAACTGGGATGAGCTGCTTGTCCTCCAGCTGCAGCTCTTTAAAAGTTTTGTAGTACAGCACGTCGATGGCGCTCCCGTTGTCGATGTATACCTTCTTTACTTTGTAGTTGCACGTGATGACCTCTATCACAATTGCCTCATGGTTGTTGGAGGCTAAAGGTACCGCGTCCTTTGGTCCATAGACGATCTCCTCGTACATCTTCAAACGTTTGTTCGAGCTCTCCTCGGTGGGGGAGGCCGATTGTTCCGCCGAGCCGTATGGCTATCTCCCCCTGCAGGTCCCCCTGCGATGGTGTTGATCACCCCGGCTAGGTTCTGAACCCCCTGCTCCGGAGTCCGATCACGGGGACCTCGAGGTCGGTCGTGCGAGCTGGTCGCCCGGTCTCGCTTGAACCCCCCTGGCCTCTGATCTGCTCGTCCGTCACGGACGAACTGCCCGAGATGGCCTCTTCGTATCAGCTTTTCGATCTCCTTCTTGAGGTGTCGGCAGTCCTCAGTATCGTGTCCGACGTCTCGGTGGTAAGCGCAGTACAAGTCCTGATCCCGTCTGCTTTTGTCTCCAGCCAAGGGTCGGAGTCGGGGAGGTCGGGAAAGTCCCTGCTGCTCCATTACTGCAAGGACCCGAGCTCTGGGGGCCGTGAGGGAAGTCCAAGGCTTATCTCCCCCAGGGGCCGGCTTCTCGGCGGAGGGTCATAGGTATTCTTCCGCCCCTGGTCACGTCGCACGTCTCCCTGATCGGTGGTCCTTCGGCGCTTGTCATCCCTTTGTCTTTCCTGCGCGCTTTTCAAGCGATTGGCCTCCTCCGCATTGGCCTTCTCGTGAGCTCGGTCCAGCATCTCCCGGACTGACCTGGGCGGTCTCTCCACGAGCTCAGTGTATAGCTTCTGCTTCCGCAGCCCGTGAATGAAGGCGGTCATCACCACCTTGTCATCTCGGTCGCGAACCTGGAGGGATTCGTTATTGAATCGCACCATGTATTCGCGCAGTGATTCCTCAGTCCTTTGCTGGATGGTCATGAGGTGAGCGGTACTTTTAGAGAAGGCTCGCGAAGAAACGAACTGCGCGGAGAACAGTCGCGCGAGTTGGGTAAAGGACCTGATCGATCTGGGCAGGAGCCCCTGGAACTACTATCGGGCCCTTCCTTCTAGGAACATCGGGAAGGTCTTGCATCTGACCGCATCCGCGGCCGTTTGTAGGCGCATCTGCGTCATGAACACGAACAGGTGGTCTTCCGGATCCGTAGTTGCGTCGTAGGGCTTCATGTTTGGGATTTTGAACTTTGCGGGTAGCTGGTAGTCCTCGATATCGAGCACAAAGGGGGAGGCGATGTACCTATCCGCCTCGGGGTCCAGCAGCAGGTCCAGCTCGTCCTGCACCTGTTGCCTCTCCCTCAGGGGAGAGAGCCTTCGGACGGGCTCCGGGTGTTCAGTTCGGGAGTTTTTGTGAGAGGGCTCTACGACCTCGACCTGCTCACGCGTGAGTTCCCGATGCGCCCGCTTGGCCCCGTGATTGGGGCTCCCAGTTCGGGACTCTGACAGGTCGGCTCCCTGGACCTTAGGCTCCTTGTCGGACTGTCCTCCCGACTGCCCTTTGAGATAGTTCATGATCGCCTCGAAGGTGGGCAGGTTTGCTGCCACCGTTTGAACCAACTGTTCGGGCGGAATTCGTGAGGGCCCCGCCCCTCCTTCTTCGGGTATCGGGTCCCGGTGAGAGTTTTGGGGGCCGCTTCGCTCCATCCCCTTGGATCCACCAGCTTTTCTCTGAGACCTGGTTTTCGGGCATGATTCGCGAAGAAAAGTAACGTGTTCCCACAGACGGCGCCAATTGATGCGACTGCCGAAGTGAAGGTCCGACCTGGCCTGGTGCCTGGGGAGCGAGCTGGAGCGTTTGACCTGCACGTGGGCGAGCTGCGGGGCTAAGTCCCCTGGAGCAACTCCGACGATCAAGTCAGAAGGGGATTCGTAAGTAAGAGAGTAGAGTTTGTACTATGAATAGCGTACCTTATGTTTTTCCCACGCGTGGTATTTATAGGATCACATATAGTAGTCTCCTAGTAGAATAGGGAGTCCTTATGGGAGCAGAACTCTCCCTAGGGCTCCATAACTCAGTTAAGGCGTGCTTGGGCTCTGCAGCCCGCGCGGCCCATCCGCTTGGGGAGACCGCGCCCTCTGGGCCGCCAAGCCGACCTGCTGGGCCGAGAACCTCCTACTAGCCGAGCTTGCGGGCCGGGCCGACGTGCACGTGGGCCCTACTACAGATGACACGAGGGATGAAGCGTGAAAGAGAGAGAGGCTAGTTAAGTCCGGTGCTTAAAAATATCTCCAAAAGAATGAGTTGAACGACGAGAGAGGGAGAGAGAGAGATATATGCTTGTTCATGTCCAGCACAAAAAAAAAATCAGTTGCCGCTAATGCTCCATCAGTTCATTGCGCTCCCTTGCACAGCTACACGAGAGCCAAAACACTGGGGGACTTTGCTGGTCGATCCACTCTGAGCCTGAGGAGTGCAGCTATGGCAAAGTCGGCGTTCGTAACCACCCGCGTCTCTCGCATCTTCAGCCATACAACTCCCTCCTTCTCGTCCTCATACATAAAGTTGAAGCTACGCCCATCACGCCTTCTCTCCCTTCCCTCCTCAAAATTCAACCACCCATCTCCTTTGGTACCTGAAACCCTCTCCTACTCCACCACCCCTGCAACTCCCTTCCCTCTCCAATACGACATGATTGTCTCCCGCCCAGCCCACCAGCTGCACCACCCCTCTCCAACCCACCCCTGCCGCCGACTCACCTCACCCAAATCAAAACCACCCGACGATTCACATCCTGGTTCCTCTGAAGAACTCGGTTTTGACGATTGGGTGGATAAGAAATTAAACTCCAGCACCACGCCATCGTCATCTTCTTCATCGTCTGAGCATGACGCGATTGCGTTGGACAGGTCTAAAAGGAAATATTACAGTAAGAGGAGGAAGAGAATGTACGGTTCAGATTCAGAGGACGAAAGTAATCGCCGAGACGACAACGATTTTGTTGAACTAAAGCAAGAAGTCGTGGAGCTTCGCACATTGCACAAGCGAGAAGAGGAGCTGTACTTTTACGATTCTTTTGCATATCCTTGGGAAAAAGACAAGCATTATAAAATGGTTTATCAGCTGGAGAAGAAGTATTTTCCTGATCAGGGCTTTGATAAGGCGTTTCTGGCACCCGGGCAGCAGTCGAACCAGAGGGGAAAGAAGAAAGCTAATAAGAGTGGAATTAGGAGCACTGAAGCAAAATCCAAGGAAGTGAAGGATAAAGGGATCGTGTTCTTTGATGATGAGGAGAAATTTGCTGAGAGAGATGATAATGCCATTCAAGTTGAGGTTTCAGAGAAGAAAGTTGAGGAGTTCTTCAAGTGTTTGAAGAAAGTTCCCAATAAAGAGACTGACGTTGCTAATGCTGAACCGTTTCTTTCGTCTAGGAGTCGTGGTCTTCCACCCAAGTGGGATACCACTGCAGGCACCGTGGTTCTGGTCAATAAACCAAAGGGTGAGCCTGTCTCTTACCCTTCTTAGGTTCTTCTTTGGTTGGTTGATAACCTGAAATGGTGATTTTTGGTAGCTGAATTGATTCAAATTTAATTTGGAATGGAAGTGGTGTAAAATGTGTGTGCTGGATACAATCCTATCCACTGAGAAAAACTGGATTTGAAGCGCTGAAATTGGTTGATTTCATTCAGGTGCTCATCCAGATAAATCTATAACAGGACAAGTCATTTAAAACTTTAAGTGGAATAATTTCTTATCTTTATGTTATCCTTATAAAATAGTCGCGAAAAGAACTTTTGTCTGAGTTGATTTTACTTGGGTTCTTTTACTAAACAATCCAATGACTTAGAAGTCCAGTTTAGCCCGCAGGTTGGACTTCCTTTACGGTTTGTGGAAAGCTGCGTCGCCTGGTCAATGTTAAAAAGGTTCTTCCTAATATTTAACTGCTGTCTACTTTTCCTCTTCTGACTCCATTTTCATTTGTTTTTGTGTTTCTTCATCCAAATTTCCTCTGAATCAATTGTTATAGGTGGGACATGCTGGAACTCTTGATCCCATGGCAACTGGTTTATTAATTGTGTGTGTTGGTAAAGCAACAAAAGTTGTTGACAGGTGAACTGGCAATGTGTTTAGATGTTGGGAAGCTAGCAGATAATTTAGTATTTTTGGGAAAGTCCCATTCCCTGTAGTTTCTTTCATTCTGCTAAAACATCTTATCTGATCTGGCATATAGTTTCCCCCTATCAGTCATTTCATATAACAATACTTAAAAGGAATGACTTTCTCTACATAGTTGAATGTTATATTGCAGGTATCAGGGTATGATTAAGGGTTACAGTGGGATTTTCCGCTTAGGAGAAGCCACCTCGACTTGGGATGCTGATTCACCAGTGTGTTAGATTTTTTTCAATTTGCTATTGTCATTTCTTTTCTAAGTTTTAACAGTAAACGTAATATCAAGACTATTTTCCCCTTTTACTTGTATTAACCATATAAACCAGCAATACTGCTTGGGAATTTAAAGAGTTTTTGTCACCTCATGTCTTGATCGCCTTGAATTATCTTATCCAGGTTATTCAACGCGAACCCTGGGAACACATCAGGGATGAAGACATAAAGAAAATTGCTGCATCACTTTGTGGCGAAATATGGCAAGTCCCCCAATGTTCTCCGCAATTAAAGTAAGAAATTTGCGAGTGGTTTTTGGATGTCTTGATATTATTTGTTTTAGAGATGTTTTAATGCCATTGGCTCTCTATTTTTCTATTCTGCTTGTGTTTCATTGCGAGGTCTTGTTGCTCGTTTGTCTTGTCACAGCTAATTTCCATTGGACTTTGACAGCTTAATTGCTTTGCTATTTTCCTTTTGGTAGGTTGGTGGGAGAAGATGTATGAGAAAGCAAGAAGAGGAGAAAGTACTGAACTTTCACCAAGACGAATTTCGATTTTCCAGTTTCATGTGGAGCGAAGCCTAGAGGACCGGTAACGTACAATTTATACTGCAATTTATGACTGTAATGTACAAGTTTGATGCAGTTTGTTCAAGTTTATAGTATACGGAGATACCACAGTGTCATTTGGGGTACCATATCAGTGTAAATTATTGGATAAATGTGGCTGTTTCATACCATCTATCCTTATATTTCTGACTACAATAGACAGGAGCATTTCT